AGAAAATTAACAAGGGCATAGGCACAAATGTGGACATAGAAAATGGGCAAAGGGAGAACACAATGTTATTACTTTATGTTCAGTATGGAGTTAAGTGCAAGGGCTTTGACTACAGTGGGTTTGGATGTGCTGGTTGAGACTTGTTTCACTCCAATTTTGACAACCAAAAGTTGGACATACAGCATAAGCTGTTAACTGATGCTCCTCTTCTAGTCAACAGAAAGGCAGAGCAAGAGAGAGACATCTCCCTCCTCCAACAGGCATCCGAGCAAGGCGGGATGAACCTTCTCTCACCAGTGGAGAAGGAAGCAAGCTCGCAAGCTCCCTCTGCTTAGCTGGATGCTGCTGGCTGGATCTAACCCGTCTCTATTAACAGAGTCCTGGTCCAGGAGTATTCCTCTAGGACACTACGCTACTAATGCCATCAGCAGATGGGAGCAATGGGTTTGCTGGGGGAGAGAGAAACATCTTTCAGAGATCTGTTTCGAAGCAACCTCTAGAACTCAAGTTCACATCAGCAAGCCTGGGCCAGGATGAGCCTCTGTCCCATACACAGTGGCAAGACAGTTTTTGAGCTTGTCTTTAACTTAGTTCTTGCTCTGGATGATGATGTTTGATCTCGGTGATCTGACCCATCGAAAGATCTTGGTGATCTGACCCACCGAAACCTGCAAGAGCTGCTGCCTTCTCTGAGCTTCGTTTCATTGCTTTATCCAGAGTTTGAAGTGGAGATGGCAAAGTCTGAATTTAGAATAACCTCAGCAGCACAGTGTGTCTAGCTGTGCTTACACTCCGCTTTGTGAAAAGACAATGACCAAACCAAATCCAGATTTCCTTTTAATCTGGCCTATTTTAAATCAAACTGAAAAGAGAAATATTAAAGCAGCTACTGTGAAATGTGCTGCTCCATGAATTAGTAATTGTGTTTACCTTCTACATTGGGAATTTTTTGCCTGTGCTGCTGTTTCTTACTGCCACACAACACGAGGAGCTTTTATTCAAATGAGACTATTTCAAAGCACTTTTACACTCATGTAGAGTCAGGAACTTATTTACTTTCTGACAGTTATTTACTTCCTGTAAATATTTCACAGCCACAGGATCTCCCAGATGAAAGCAGAGTTTGCTCTGTGCTCCTGTTCAGGAGTCTAATTAAAAATGAAATAAAATGGGAGGGACGGAGCTTAAGTGCTAACTGCGATGGACGAGTCTGGAGGGAATTCAGCAAGGGGAGCCAGTTTCTTGGCACAAGTATTGAAGCCTCTGCGTAAAAGCAGAAGAAAAATGCCCAACATGGAAACTGAAAGCCCTGAGATGGATCGGGCGAGTAGGGGAGAGGCTTTCAGCTAGGGGATAGGTATGAGCCAACACTGCTCCTGCACGAACTCTATGCTGCCATCGCTGAAGAGTTGGTCCTGGCTGCCATTTCACATCACCAAAGCCAGAGACCTCCTTTTTGCCTGCATATCCCCTCCCACAGCACAGATCTGAAGCCAGCAGCAGCATCTCCCGGCACCTGCGATCCCACCAGCCCGGAGCCACCGCCACCAGGACAAGGCTTCTGCATCCCACCTGTGAACGCTGAGGGCATGTCCCCACCCGGGGTAGGTCACTAACGCCACTGACGTCCGAGCGCACCTCGGCATCTTCAGTGGCTATGGGACTTTTAACAGAACCGGTACTTTCTCCGGTATGTTAATAACTGCAACAGAATGATAGGCACTGCAAAGGACTCCATGGCTGTGCTGCCTCTATGTTTGGATAACTTCCCACAGTCATTGCTCCAGAAAAAGCCAGGGACTTCAAAGTAATCAAATAAAGCATGAGGGGAAAAAAAAAAAAGAAAGATCAAACATTACTTTCCCTATTTTTTCAGAAATAGCTTGTTTGCTGTTGGTTAAGGAAAGATTACTTACCATAGCTGTCTAGAGGACAAGGGCAAATTGCAATTTGCTTCAGGTTTTGAGCGAGGATTTTTTGCTTAAAAGAGTGCATTTGGAGACAAGGGAGATTATGAACAATCCTTTAACAAGATCCTCAAGCCATCAGGCTGTTTAACATTATTGATCAGTGCAGCCAGAGCACATTTAAAAAAAAAAAAAATCTATCGGATTAAAATGGAAATAGCTCTCTTGTTCTGACTTCTCATAAACTTCATTTCACTTTGCAGCAGCAATCTTCTCCGAAAAACAGGCAGTCCCCAAGCCTGAGGTGGTGGCCCTGCCAGGAACACGCTGCCCTGCACCCCTGCCAGCTCCTTCTGCCTTTGACACAAACACACACCCAGCAGCCACACGTGTGTGGTGGTTTTGTTCCAACAAAAAAAGGGATAGTTCAACAAAAAAAGCCACAAAACTAACACCTCAAACCAGAAGAGATGTCTCTTCACAGCTCATTGTTACAGAAAGCCTTTTTAATAGTCTTTAAAATTTGATTTATTTTAAAATACACAAGCTTTGACTTGGTTGTGTATTTGAAATGGCCTTCTTCTGAGAACGTAGAACACTAAGTCAGAATAAACCCAGATCCAGTATTTAATTGATGTCATCCACCTCAACAGCAAAGCTTTCATCTCCAAAGTGCCCATGGTGGGGATCGCAATTCTGGGGGTTTTGTTTGCCAAATAAATAAAAATAAACACTTTGCTTTCAATTTAGCACCCCAGAAGTTGACAGCAATAGTAGTAAACAATAGAAATTATTTGTATTAATAGCCTTGTTTATTCTAATGATGCTGGCATTTTCTGCAAAGATTAATTAGCTATAATGTTGAAAATACTATTACAAGTGAAATATGCACCATAAACCAAAAATAATTTGACTGACCTATGTTCTAAAGTAAAATATTTACAGTAATGAGATTCTAATTACCCTTTGTTATGGCAGACCATTCTCTACACTCCCCTTTATTGACAGGGGATGTATTGTTTCCGCATTTTAGCTCAGTTTATTTTCTCACATTTGCATTTTCTTACGCACAGAAAATGAGAGATGATCATTACCTTCTTCACTTTGCATTCAATTTACATCAGCAGCACATTACCTCATCCTAACTCATTTATCTACCACAGAAATTTGATAACAAAAGCTACTGTCAGTGATGAAGAAAGATCATTTTCAATGGACCAAGAAGAAACAAGATGAATTATAGGTTTCAGGACCTTTTGTTTGCTCAAGAAAGGGAAAATAAAGGATTTTTTCCACCTAGGCAACAGGGATCTCGCAAGGCTGTAACTCACGTCCAGAACCTCATATTTACCTGTAGCTGATCGGTCCTTTCTGCATACAAAAGTAACTCCAAATACCCACGCAACCGTAAATGTCTCTCTCGTTTGCTGCCCGGAGGAACATTTTCAATTTTTTGAAGTTTGAATTTATGGTTCATAAGCTCAAGTAAACACTTTAACAACTACCCAAAGGCTACGGTAGCCTCAGAGCGACTAACAGCTCTCCAGCCTGCGAGACACAGGCGCACCCAACACGGCGCGTACTCCGCGTCTCGCCGGACGGCGTTAGCCTGCTTGCGAGCACGCGCGGTGCCATGAAACGTGCTGTGGGATTCTCTTGCATTGACGATAGCAGAATATCCGTCCTGTTTTGCTGGGAACCCGTAAAACCTGCTAGCTCCTGTCTTCTACTTCTGCTTGAACAAGCCACCAGAGCCTGCTAGCCTCTCGCTGCTCTTCTCTTAACCCTAGTATTAGACCCAACCCAAAAAGGCAACGGCACCAACACCACATTCAGACGTTGGGCGTTACGACAGCTCCGGCCGAGACCTCCTCCTCGCTGCTGGGCAGAGCACCGCAAGCCCCGGATGCGCACGGGCGCAACGAGGGGTTTCCGTCCTGCCCCATGGACGGGGGAGCGGGGGGAGAAGCAGAAACTGGGAAGCAGGTTTTAAGGAACAGGTCATCGGCAGAAAGCCCACAAGCCCTCCCCAGAGCGGGGTGAGTGATTTTGGCCTACTTTCCCTAAAACTCCTCAAGGAAGGAGGGTGGGGGGAGATTTTTCACCTTTCTAGAAGTGAGGGCTTCATTTATTTTTTTACAATATTACAGTATTTTCCCAAAAGCAACTACTCGTCTTGAAATAGCTCTTCGTATTAAGGGCAAGTCAGAAGAAGGGAAGAAATGGGTTTTAAAAGTTGTAAGTAACCCACCATTAAATGTGAATGGTTTCATATGAAAACCTGCTCTTCTTTTTCTGTACGAAAACCTGCTTTTTTTTCCCATTTCATTTCTTCCCTCATCTTCCCTCCCTGTAAGTCTGCCCTTTAGCCAGCGTGGATCAGGAGCAGCCTGGGAACCTGCTCCGTGCAGATGCTGCCTGCGCACTGCTCCAGAGCCGGCATCTTACCAGCACGTCCCTACGCCAGCCCGCTGTCCAAGCCACCAAGCAGCAGGTTCTTCTTTCGAGAACAGCACTAGGGAACTCCATGGAGTTGCCAGGGTTTGCCCCAGCAGACCTGGATAATGGACTAATAGTCTTAGCTCACTTCATCCAGGTTTTTAATTAGAAAACCCCTGTGAGACTGTGCAGCGCTGGCTGACACAGCCCTGCTCCAAAGGTGCCTGGTCCCCGAGAGGAAGCATCATCTGCAGGGTCATCTTCAAGGGAATTGTGCCGGCTCTTTTGGATGAAATGTGGATCGTGTTGAAGCCTTTGAAAATGCTACTGTAGACTTTTATATGGCCAAGAAAATCACCTGGATAGGAATGGGAAACCCAGTGCGTTAAAGAGGTTCACTGAAGCCAAACTAATTTATTCTCGTGCCATGCTCAACCCCCAAACATGGCAGTAATATCCCACAGGGCAGAAGATGAGCCCAAGGACTGCAACTACCCAGCAGGTTTCTCGTACATGGACATGCTCTCTCATGTAACACCCATGCTGCCATTGCAAGCCTCACCAATGGCACATCTAGGGACTTTAAATTAAAGGCTTACCCAGAATAAATAAACAACCACTTGCACTTTGGAACTATTGACTGAGCTCCACCACCCGAACAATTTGTTAGCGAGAGGTTTGGGCAGTGGGAAGAAGATGGCAAATATCCCCCTCGTACTCTCCATTTGTCTTCTGGGAGCTTGTCTCGGTGACGAAAGTACAGGTGGGTTCATTTAAAACCTAGCAAGTCCTTCACTTTTGGGTGTGGGGCGTTTCTGGCACATGTGAAGGGACAAGTTTGTCACTTGACGGTGGGACAGCTTGTGCAGTCTTATAAGAGACGAGAGCTCAGAGGGATCGCTGCTTTTCATAGCTCCTCTTTTTAAAGCTCTGGTTCTTTTCTTGGGAATGAAATAATAGCTTTTATGCTGATTTGACACAGAATGTGTTACAAGGATTAATTCTAAGAATGGGATTTTTCTTAAATTTTTGCAGCTTTTAAGCTTTCAGAGCTTGATTCAGCCATTTTCAAATGCACGCACCCACACACGGAAGGAAAATACGGGGAGAGCGTAGCTGGTGGAGTAACATCCGCACCTCTTCGTGTACCATCGCTTTGTCCTGGAGTACAAAGTACTCACATCCATAAAACAGTCATTGAATTTGCCACTGGGAGAATTGTTTAAAGCCAAACCCAGCGTGAATTTAACAATGACTGTAAGATGCAGCCAAAATTGTAGACAAGATAGAGTGGTTGATGGATGTGGGCAATCACACATAGTAATGCAGGCTGTTGCTTGATTTATCTGTAGCAGCAACAGTTCCAGCAGAGGCTGGTTCACATCCAGGGTGAGTACTTGTTTGGTGCAAGGCTGGCCTTTCCTCTTTCATTAAAACACTGCAAGTAACAAGGTTTTTTTTAAAAAAAAGGCCTCTTTCTGAAATGTTGGCTTAGCAACGAAAAGTGAGCACAGCCTAAAGTACCACAACCCATCCAGGTGTACCTGCTAGAACATACTACACCCAGCTGGCAGGACAGGTCTCCCCCCACAGCCCCTCGGCCCAGAGACCCATCTCACTCTCTCAGGGGCCGGTTCAGAAGTTGATAAGTCACGTGTGAGTATATTCTTGGTGTGAGGATGGTTCCCAGCCAGGGTGAGTACCGCACCCGTGACCTTCCGTTCAAGTTTTGCTTGTGAAGCAGTGTTGTGGGACCAGTACGCAACTGAGAAAGCCTGGAGGGATCCGAGGGAGGCAAAGCTGCATTCATTAAAATGAGCTCTCTCCATTAAATGGGTTAATTACGGCAGGTGCCCGGCACATCCCACCGGGAAGAGATGAAGGAGTGGGTCTAAGGCAGCTGCCTCGCTTCACGCAGGGCAATGTGCGGCCATGCCCACGGGGGTTCCCTGGGCACGGAGAGCCCAACAAGGTGACAAAACCAAGGAAGGCTCCACCATTCTGCCCAGCCTGGGGACAAGCTGGAGGCTGCAGCCCACGCCATGGGGAGACGGGGGCAAGTCTCCTCCAGCAAGGCTGTGCTCGGCCGGGGAGCCTCGCCTGGGGGTCCCACACCTAAAGCACAACCGTGCAGCTGGCAGGGGCCCAGCAGGGTTTGAAACAAGCCTGCCTTCCTCAGAGGCCGGTGCTGTACCCGTCAGTATCTACTGCCAAACTATTAGAATAAGGTCAGGATTTTAATGCACTCCTTTTTGTTTGTAACCAAAAGCACACCAGCATGAGGAAGGCAGAGGTGCAAGCTTGCGGTACACTGATTAAAAGCGTGGCAAAAACGGCGAGTTCAGTCTCTTGCAGAGGGATCTTTAGGTGAAGAGGCTGGTCACGCCATCAGTGGCATGGCGTAAATCAGAGCAACCCGCCTGGGGTTCCTGAGAGTTCAATGCAAGCGATCCCCCACGGGTTCAGAGAGGCTGGGATCTGCTCTGGATCAGGAGCAGAAGTTGGCCACGAGAAGGAACGAGTGGTGGCACTTGCCCCTCACTCTCCTCTCTGCCCGCCTGGCTGAGCTCATGCTCCCCCGGAGGGCCAGGCCCACAGGTGCCTGAACCCTTCCAGCACAGGGCCCCCAGACAAGGGTCTGAGTCCAGGGTGGCCACCAGCAGCTCCAAGAAGAGCTGCTCTACCGTGCCATCTGGTGACAAAAAGAGACATGGCTCCGAGCACTGAGGGTGGCTGGTGAGAGAGGAGAGGCTGGGGAGGCACGGCGGGAAGATCCTTTGGGTGAATAATGTCCTTTTTAGAGAGGTGGGACGGGGAAGAGTGCTCAGCAGAGGCGGGTCAGGAGCAAACCCGG